CAGGGTTGGAGAGATGGCTCAGAGGTTAGGAGCACTGACTGCTTTTCCAGAGGTACTGAGTTCAATTCCCAGCAACCACATGGTGGCTCACAGCCATCTGTAATGAGATCTGGTGCCTTCTTTTGGCCAGCAAGCATACAGACAGACAGAACACTGTATACATAATAAATAAATAAATCTTTAAAAAAAAAAGGTTTTTAAAAATAAAAAGAAAGAAACCCTGTCTCGAAAAAAAGAAAAAGAATAAAAATAAGTATTTTAAAGAAAAAAATGCAAATGCACCTGTCCTACACCAGACCCCCCCCCCCCAGGTCCAGCATATACATTTTAACAAGCCCCCCACACAGTGATCTTTGATAAGAAATCATTTATGAGAACTACCCTAAAAACCCTCCTATTCCATGGCCCAGAGCACCACTGGGTAACTGGCATTTTTTTTCATGTCAGACAGTATTGTGCCTACATGTAATGCTGTTAAAGGAGGCACATCTCACATAATGGTGTTAAAACTCAGTTACTACACTTACAGGCTACAAAAGGATCTGTGGATCCAACTGACAAACCTTAAGTGTTGGCATATAGTAACCATTGTTTTACATTGAAAAATGCCTGTCCTTTTAAACTTTTTTCATATAAGAAAAACATTAATAGCTACCCTTGTTACTTGATTATTCTCTCTCTCTCTTTTTCTCCCTCCCTTGCTCTCTTCCCCTCCCCACCTCCTGCTCTTTTCCCTCTTTGTGGCAAGATTCATATATACTAGGCTGGCCTCGAATTCCTGTAACCAAACTGGAACTTCAGATTCTTGCCATCTTTGTCAGTCCTGCTTGATCACTTAGGGATGAAGGAGTGCCCACGCTGGAGGCACTAACGTTGAGGAAGTCTTCCCCATTTGTTTTCCATGTTGATTTTTGAGACAGGATCTCTCATTGAACATGGGCTCACCAATTTTTTGTTTGTTTGTTTGTTTTTCAAGACAGGGTTTCTCTGTAGCTTTGGAGCCTGTCCTGGAACTAGCTCCTGTAGACCAGGCTGGCCTCGAACTCACAGAGATTCGCCTGCCTCTGCCTTCCGAGTGCTGGGATTAAAGGCGTGTGCCACCACTGCCCAGCTGGGCTCACCAATTTAACCAAGCTAACTAGGCAGTAAGATTCAGGGATCTACCTGTCTCTGTCCCACAGCACTGCGGTTTCAGATGTATGCCACAATGGATACTGTGGGATATCTCACATGGATGCTGGTGATCAGAACTTGGGTCCTCACACTTAGGCAGCATGCACTTTACCACCTGAGCCATCTCCCCGGTCCCTCTGGCCCAACTTGATCAGTTTCTATCAACTGTAATCTCGAATGTGCATTATTTCATTTAATTCCCATAAAACTAGTCTGTATGTTTTGTTAATCTATCTTTACTCCTTAAAATGAATATGAAAGTAGAAAAGAGACTAATGGAGGAGAGGAAAGGGACCATTGGGAGTAGGAGGAAAATATTTATGTTATAAAAATGCCATAATGCCTAATAATCAAAAGTAAAAGCACACATGCAAAAATAAATAAATAAAAAGACCAAGTAACTGACTTGAAATCTCACAATTAGAGAGTGAAAGAATTGAGACCAAGTCTATGTTCTTAACCACTGCGGAGGTCCAGGATGACACTATACATGTTCTCTCACATGGCCCTCCTCCCGTTCTCTGTGCTGAGAAATACTGTTCCCACTTTGTGGGAAAAGCTAGAATTTGAAGCCAGGCATGATGGTGCATGCCTTTAATCCCACACTCAGGAGGCAGAGGCAGACCAATCTCCAGTTTGGTCTACGGAGCGAGTTCCAGGACAGCCAGGGCTACACAGAGAAACCCTGTCTCAAAAAAAAAAAAAAAAAAAAAGAAGAAAGAAAGAAAGAAAGAGAAAGAAAAAGTTAGCTTTTGAAGAGAGATTTGGAGATGTATAAGTGAGATTTGAATGCTGACCTGTTTCTACCAAACTGTATACATTTCAAAGCTGAAACGATCCCAGCAGTTAGTGCGCTTTTATTTATTCTGCATTTGCCTATACTGAATTATTCCAAGACAAGTGCAAGGGTACCACTTTTCACTACTTTCATAAGTGGGAATTTCCAGCAAAAATGAGCAACTGGCTGTATGTGGCCGATTTCTGACAAAGAACATTTCGACTATTGGGCAGCACTCTTTTTTTATTTCCAAACACCTCTGGGCTTGTTTACATGAGCATGACGACCTGAGTCCTGATCACCAGCATCTATGTAAGATAAATCACAGTATCCATTGTGGCATACATCTGAAGCCCCCTGCTGGTGGACAGAGACACACAGACAATAAGCTGACATGTTTAAGTACCTGGTCCCTGGTTTGAGATTCCCATTGAAGATGTGATCTCTTAGCTTCCTGCCCCAGGCACCTGCTGCCATGTTTCCCCTGGTATTTGTGGAGTGGCCGTCTGGAGCTGTAAGCCAAAGGAAACTCTTCCATCAGTTGCTTTTGATCATGGTATTTTCCACAGCAACAGAAGTGTTACTAATACGCTCTTTCACAAGTAGGCAGAGAACTTGTCCAATGCTTCTGGACCTGGTTTTCTTTGCCCACGGGACTAGACTAGACCCAGTGCATCCCAGGCAATATGTGGATGGGAAAACTGGGTCTTGGAAAGATCGGTGGTAGTGGCTGAGTATGGCGGTGGAGGGAAGAACTGATAATAAATGCCTTCTCTGGGTAATCTGAGCTGAAGTAATCTATAATTATTCCTAAAGAAATACTGAAAGCAGAAATTGCATGGTTTTATATCTGTTCAGTGTACCATGATTTGTTTTTACCTTTAGTGCGGTTGGGCTGGTTAATTAAAATCCACAGAACATTGTAATAAAACACAATAGAGAGATGCACCAATATCATCTTTTCTTCAGGTATATGATGTGCAAAGAAACTGGTGAAATGAAAAGCAAAAATAATCCACCCATGGAAAAGCGCCTCCGATTTTCATTAAACTGTTCACTTTGGTGCATTGAGAATAAAATATGACCACTGAAACATTTTCTCCCCATTTCATCTTCCATATGCATTACCAAAGCTTTGGAAGTCAAAACGAAATACAAAGGGACTATTCTGGATAATAAAAAAGAGAATTAGAGAGGAAGATATGTGAAGGCAAGCTATTGTGTTGTGCTTTAGTGAAAGCAACAGACGCTGTGACTTTTGACTCTGACCAAGCTCTCTCTTATGGCCTCCTGGGGTGGGGGCACAGCCTCCATGCTCTGCCAATAGCATATTCTGAGGTCTAGAGAATGAAACTGATCTGGAATAGAGCCTCGAGTTTTCCTCTGCCAGCCTCCCTCCACATAAGCAGACACTTTGTGGCCAGAAGCACAGACCCGCCTTAGAAACAGTGTTAGATGATTCTGCACATACTTATGGAGGCCTGACAGTACTTAAGTCTCTCCCAGTGTGGCCAGCTAGTATCAGCAGGACAGATACATGTGGGAGGATTTGGTGCTGCCTGTGAATTTTCTCTCACTGGCCTCTCAGACATTTTCCTTGAATGCAAACTGTTGACATTTTAGAAAGAAGGAAAAATCCTTTATTTGCTTTTCTTTGACTACTGCAAATGAAAGCTGAAGGAAAGGGAGGTAGAAGCAAGGCAATACGTCTGCCATTTCCGTTTGAAATAATGAGTTAGCTAACAGAAAAGAGTGTAAATTCCAGCAGCACATTGTCTTCTCGGTCTTCAGGCACCCTGTTTCTTTTCTCTGACAGCACAAATGAGAGGATGATGTCTTTTGTTTTCGTTTATATGAAAAGAATGTTTTGTTTTGTTTTGTTTTGTTTTGCTTTGTTTTCAAGACAAGATTTCTCTGTGTAGCTATGGAGCCTGTCCTGGAACTAGCCCTGTAGACCAGGCTGGCCTTGATCAGAAATCCTCCTGCCTCTGCCTCCCAGGTGTTGGGATTAAAGGTGTGCGCCAACACCACCGCCTAGGTAAAAAGAACATTTTGTAAAAGAAAAAAATCTTAAAAACTATAGTCCAGGCTGGAGAGAAAGCTTAATGTTTAAGGGCATGAAGTGTTCCTGTGGAGGCCACTAGTTCAGTTCCCAGCATGCACATCAGGCAGCTTACAATGGACTGTAACTGCAATCCCAGCAGATCAGAGACCCTCTTCGTACCTCCATGGGCACTAGGTTCATATTGCAAAATTCACATGCATATACACATAATCAAATATAAACATAAAATCTTTCTTAAGATTTTAAAACAAATATTTACATTGTGCTGGTGTGTTGTTTGCATGTATGTCTGTGCACCACCTGTGTGCAGTGCCCACAGAGGCCAGAAGAGGGCATCAGATTCCCCTGATTGTGAGCTGTAACATGAGTCCTCTGGAAGAAAAACAAAGGCTCTTAATTGCTGAATTATCTCTCCAGCCCCAAATTAAAACCTTTTTAGAAAATATGGTCCCTTCAGGACTGTAAACTCAACTATACCTGTAGTTTTATTTTAAAACTATGCATCAGTATCTATGTGGACAAATTGCAAATGGTTTTAAAATGCCTATATAAGCCTGACATGAAGGTCCATCCCTATAATCCCAGCACTTGAGAGGGGGAGGCAAGAAGAAGTATAAGCTCATCCCTGACTACATAGCAAATTCAAAGCAAGACTGGGTTACATGAGACCCTGTCTTAGAACAAATCCTTGTATAGCTGGGAACGGTGGCTCATGGCTGTAACCCCAGCATTCAGGGAGCTAAGGCAGGAGGATTACTAGTAAGTGCTTGGCCAATCTGGGCTACGTAGTGAAACGTCATTTTAACCCCTTCCCTTCCTCCCCCCAAAAGCAGCTATATAATTTTCTTTTTGTAAACGTAGCCTTTCTATTACTAGCAAGACTGTAAAAGACAGGAACAATATTTGCTATATTTATCAGAAAATATATAAAATGTGTGCCAGTGATTTAAAATATACTATTTTGAAAATCTACTTTCTTTATAGGCAGTGGCTGATGCTTACAAGATAATGGGGGAAAGGAAATTTTATCAACAAATTATGGAAGATGAGCATTTTTTCCAGAAATTCAAAATAGCTGATCGTATGGATGTTGTCACGGTGCAAGACTACATGCAAGTAAGGAATTAGATATAGATATTAAAAAATCATCAAAAAAGGCTTTCCTGACACTATCCTCTAACAAGAAAGAATCATAATTTTTGTTTTGTTTTGTTTTTGTAATACAGAGTTTCTCTGTGTAACAACCCTGACTGTCCTGGAACTCACTTTGTAGACCAGGCCTCACTTTTTAGCTGGCCTCGAACTCACAGAGATCTGCCTGCCTCTGCTTCCCAAGTGCTGGGATTCAAGGTGTGCACCACCACCACCAGGCTCATAATTTTTTAATTGTGGTAAAATACATGCAACATAAAATTTACCATTTGGAGGGCTGGAGAGATGGCTCAGTGGTTAAGAACACTAGCTGCTCTTCCAGAGGACCCAGCTTTAATTCCCAGCACCCCATAGCAGCTCACACCTGTCTGTAACTCTAGTTCCAGAGGATCTGACATCCTCACACCAATGCACATAAAAATTTTTTTTAAAAAACTAGCATTTGGGAAGCCAGAAAGATGACTCGGAGGTTAAGACCAGTACCCACATCAGACAGTTCACAACTGCTTTTAACACCAGCCCGAGAAGACCCAATGCTGCTCTCTTCTGGCCTCTGGAAGTACAGCATACACATGTACAGGCATGCTTGAGCACACACACACACACACACACACTGAATAAAATGTAATTTTTAGAAATATTTATTTATTTGTTATGTATACAATGTCCTGCCTGTATGTATTCCTGCGTGCCAGAAAAATGCACCAGATCTCATTATATATGGTTGCAAATCACCATGTGGTTGCTGGGAACCCAGGTCCTCTGAAAGAGCAGTCAGTGCTCTTAACCACTGAACCATCTCTCCAGCCCCCACAAAATGTCATTTTTTAAGTCAATGAGTGAAAAGCTACCTCTGGCTGCAGGGTACAGAAAGAATTAGAAACCGGCAAGAGTTCTGTTCAAAGGCTCTTGATATTCCAGGCGAAATGGTGGTTGCTTGGTTTAAGGAGATATGTATACAGATGCGAGATTCAGAGTAAAGGCAATGGGCCTTGGCAAGAGACAGGGAGAGAAACTGAAGGACTACATCTGGCATGACTCCTGGTTTTCTGGTTTGCATAGCTGGATAGAGAAACGCTGAACTGGGGCACTTAAGCAGCATAACTGAGTAATAATAAAATAATAATAATTAATAATAATAAATGTTTTTGTAACACTCCCTCCCATTTTTCTACTGAAAATCCAAAGAGGCAAGCATTGACAATATGAAAATTACCAATATTCTGACTCCTAATGTAATAACTATGTGACCTTAGCTTCTTCATTTGGAAGCCTCAGCCTCACGTTGACATCTGAAGTTAATATAGAGCCTTAGAGACTCTTGATTGTGTTTTCTTTCTTCTAAGAGGCTTAGCCTATGAGACTAGGGCATTAGATCAGAAACTAAATGAAGCTAGAGATGCCAGCTATCTTTGCCAAGAACATGAGTCACGATCTCACAGGTTGTGAATATGTCAAGGATTGGGGTCCCAGACAGAAGGCCCCAAATATTTACACTGAAAAAGAGATAAGATTATTTGTGGGTGTGAATGGCATTTGGGAAGACCTTTCCAGGCTTGTCGTTTCCTGTGCTCTTTAAGTTTGTAAATTCTGTGACCCTCTGTAGGGAGACAAGCAAGGAAGCTTTAGTGAGTTCTAAAGACTCGCCCAAGGTCACACAGGGAGTGAGTGGCAGAGTAGCCCATTGATAGGTCTGAGACAGATAGAAAACACAGGCATTATCACTGTGCATGTGGTGTAGGGCTAAGATTACTGAGGATACGAGCTGAAACGATACAAAGCACAGTTCACATTTTTTTTTTTATTGTTTTGAGACAAGGTCTCACGTAGTCCAGGCTGACCTCAGGTCAACCTTGAACTTCTAATCTTCCAGTCACCACATTCCAAGTGTTCTTGTGCCACCTCCCCTGGCTGTTTAATTTTCAGCATGTGCGAATCTGACTTTTTTTCAACACAGGAGCTTGAATCCAGGGTTCCTTGCATGACAGGCAAGCATTCTATCCATAAACCATGCCCCCAGCGCCATACAAAGCAAACTTAATAATCAATAGAGAAAATCTGTTGGCACATTAAAAACACCTAGATGTGCTGGTGCGTGGCTGTAAACTCGGCACTCAGAAAGTTGAGGCAAAAAGGATTTCAAGTTCGAGGCCAGCCTGGGTTACATAGAGAGATCCAAAGCAGCCCTGAGTTACATAGAAAGGTCCAGTCTCAAAACCAAAATAAAACAAACATTAAAAGCTCTCTTATAATAGAAACGAAAGTCTCAAAATGTTCACTATGGTATTATTTAATACATCTAGAAACTTTGAGAGTGAAAGTTTCTTTTCTTTGTAAACACTAATCAGCCGAGAATACACTAAAAAAAATGAGTTGGCCATTTTAAGGGGGTGAAGTATATGATACATGAACCTCAATAAAGCTGGGAGTATAACAGATTGGGGGTGTAGCTCAATGGTATGGTACCCTGAATTTGATCCCTACCTCAGTCAAGAGAAAGAAAAGCCATGGGGCGAAAAGCATAATCAAATAAAACATGAAGCCTGTGGCTCAGGCCTATTATCCTAGATGTTTAGGAAGCTGATGCAGAAGGATCACAAGTTCAAAGCCCGCCTGAGATACAGAGTAAGTGCAAGGCCAACCTAAGTAACTTACCAAGATGGTATCAAATTTTTTAAAAACTGGCTGGAGAGATGACTCAGAGGTTAAGGGCACTGCCTGCTCTTCCAGGGGTCCTGAGTTCAATTCCCAGCAACCACATGGTGGCTCACAACCATCCAGTGCCCTCTTCTGGCGTCCAAGCATGCAGGCAGAACACTGTATCCATAATAAATAAATATTTTTTTAAATTAGTGTTAAAAAATAAATTTAAAAAAGTGTAAAGGTTGAAGGGTAGAGCACTATCTAGTATGCACACAGCCATAAGTTCTACCCTCAGCCCACCCACTACCTAAAGAGCCCTTGGAAGAATGCTGACCTTCTTGTTCTTGCGGAAGTTAAAATGGGGACCAAACTGTCTTTGCTGTGTCTTTATCAGTTGTCACACTCCTAAGTTTTCTCGGCTGCTGACATCTTAGTCTTCGTATTGTATATGTTGCAAACTATGTTAGATTTCTCCCAAGAACGAAGCTTTTTCTGCCCGAGCCACTGCATTCATCTGGTCACAACCATTTATGCTGGTGAGTTCACCCTCTCCAAGCCCCTCAGGCGATGCAACATCTCCAGTTCCCTAAGCCCTGCGGCCTCTTAGAGCCACCCGTTTCTTCTCAAACTCGTTTTGCGCTGGATTCCAGTTTCTCTTCCAGTGATACCACGTTTGGTTTCTCTGCTGGCCAAGTCTGTCTTTGAAAAGAAAAAGATTATTTTTATTTTAATCGTGTATGGGACAAGATTGTGTGCACATACGTGCAGGTGTCCGCGGAAGCCAGAAGAGGGCGCTGGAGTTACAGGTGGTCGTGAGCCAACTAGCACTAGCGAGCGCTAGGAACCTAACTTGGGTCCTTTCCAAGGGCAGCATATGCTCTTAACCGCTGAGCCGGCTCTCCGCCCCCCCCATTCCCTTTTGTGATTATCCATTTTTGTAAAATGTCACATGGGCTTAAACATCTTGAGACAAAAAAGGCCACGGAACTGCGTATTTGCTGTCTGTATGTGAACTCGTTAATGGACTCACAGTGAACAAACTAATGTTTTTAGAGACAGGGCATAACTTGTCACTAAGGATGATTGCACACTTGTCACCAATGCAGTAGGTTGTGAACTGAAAATCTAGCTGCAGAGTCTGCTTTATGCAAAGGTTTGCAGTGAGAATTGGAATCGGCTGCTTCTTGGTGAGAGACTGGTACTACTCTACAAAATGGTGGCAGCTGACACTTCTGCATGGTACCACATTGGGTACGTGTGTGTGTTTGTGTGCGTGTGTGCATTCGAGTGCATGTAAAAGTGGGTGCACATGAAAGTTTGAGAGTATGTAGTAGGCCCTAAAAGCCTTACTTATTCCTAGTACTATAGCTCCTAACCCCCTATACCTATCTCTTAAACACACATTTATATTGTTGAATTGAATATATAAATTGTGTTTTTAAATTGCTTGCCTGACATCATTTTAAATTGGAAAAAAGTAAAGTGAGATTCCTACAAATATTACAAACAAAGATGATGAAATTCTCCACTTAGCACCAGAGATTCGCTTGTCATTTCTAAAATAGTGTGTTGCTGCATTAGGTAAACATTTAGAGAACGTGGGGTTGTGGGAACGGAAACTTCACGGCACGGGTCCTGCCTTCCAGTAAGGGAGTTAAGGTGCACACAGATATCGGAAACATCCAGCTGGGATGAAAGCCATAGGAGAGAGCTGTCGGCAGAGTTTGGAGATGAGCCCTAACCACTGCGCATTCTGCATTTTTCCCCATGTAGTACTGCAGTCTTCTGGATGAGACCCCCGCATCATCTGGTGGCAAGAATAACCACTGGCGAAAATTAAACCTCGGAAGCATTCCCAAAACAATGATGATGTATGACATTGTTGATTATGCGGAGTCCGGAGTAATCTCGAACCGTTTACAAAAAGAAATGAAATATTTGGTGCAGAAGCCAGAAACAGAAGAGATGCGTCAGCACCAGCTAGAGATTGTTTCTAAAGTTAGGTAAGAGACCATTTTTCTTGAGGTTACAGCACTGAAAGCATTCCTGAAAATGTTCCCTTTCTGAGACACAGTAGACGAAAGAGAACCACGGGGCACATGGGAAAGCTTGAGTTGGGGAAGATGGTCCCAAACGCATGCAGTTTTGTAAGCAGAACACTAACAGAAAGGCCAGTTGGTCCTGAGGTGGTGACTTGTGCCACCAGGCGGGCGCCTCGGGATGCCCCAGCAAATGTGAAGTCAGTGAAGTGGTAAGGAGCTGCTGGTGACTGTCACTGGAGCAGGCGGTACACACGGAGCTGCTGCCGCCGCCGCGGCTGCTACTGCTGCTGCTGCTGCTGCCGCCGCTGCTGCTGGAAGAGAAGCCCCAGGCCAACATGGCTCGCTTTCAAGAGAACATAAAACGTGATACAGCCTGGGAGCCATCCTAGGTCAGGAAGTGGTGGGTCACAGTAGCGTGAGTCAAGGGCTAAGTGTGCCTCTCTGGGGAGGGGGGCCTGCATGCAACTGTTGATATTTTGTTTTTCTAAGTACAGCCAAAAAGGCTCGCACTGTCCGTGCAGCACAGAGCTGAAGGCGTTTTCCTTCCTGTTGAAAACTCGAATTGGCCGGGCAGTGGTGGCTCACGCCTTTAATCCCAGCACTCAGGAGGCAGAGGCAGGCGGATCTCTGTGAGTTCGAGGCCAGGCTGGTCTATAAGAGCTAGTTCCAGGACAGACTCCAAAGCTACAGAGAAACCCTGTCTCGAAAAAACAAAATTAAAAAAAAGAAAAGAAAAGAAAGCTCGAATTGGACTTTCACTCTCCTGGCTCCCATTGCCTAGGATCAATTGTATATAAATTGCAATGGCATTATTCCCTTCCTTACCAATAACATGCAAACCAATTCATATTTTGGACAACCATGTTGTAACAAAATATATGTATTAGGATCTGAAACGACGGGGACAGAACGTTATTATTCCAATCAGATTGCTTTTAATGTCCATTACTAAGACTCACCCGGCCCAGCTTATTTACAAGTTAATCTGTCTTTCTTAAGAAAGAGAAAGCAATGCTAAGGCTGAAGGGGACTTGTTGGCAATATGTCTTCACACATATACTTGCAATGAGAAATGGTCCTTTAGACCACAAAGAAGACACTGGCAAGGAAACACACTGGGGACTCTCGAGAGCAGAGATGAAAGGTGTTGGCCCAACAATGTAATTTAGCTCCTTTATTTTACAGTCAAGGCTGTGCGCTTTCCAGACAGATAGCCTGGCTCAAGACGCAGTCTGTCATCATGAAATAGATTTTCTCTAGCTCATGCATATGAGCATTGAATATAGAACTTAACCCTATTACCACCAAGGTCAAATAAATGATGTCATTTTCCTCACTGCCATATATAACCTTGATCTCCCTGCTATTTGGATTCATGCTACTGATTATCCAAGAATGAGTCATTTGGAAGCCAGACAGCTAGCCAAATTTTAAATCAACTGAAGAAGAAAAATATTTTCATAAGAGCATCTTTGGAAAAAGTCCTAGTCTGGGATCTCCCAGAAGCAAACCCCCAAGAGCAGGAATTGAGTCGGAGCAGTTTCTTTGGGACCTGCTGAGGGTTAGGGCAGTACCACCGAAACGAAAGCCACCTAGACTGTGTGTTAGCAAGAGTTACCACTGGGGCTACCTGGAGCTTTGTGTTCTTTTATTATTTTTTTGTTTTTTTCTGTCTCTAATTCAAATGTCTTCTAGGTTTCCAAGCATTACAACTGTCCGGCCTTTTTACCAGCCTTGGGAAGAGCAAGGTAAAGCGAAACATCTGGGCCGTCGATCCAAGCAGGCACAAAAGAAGGTTGAAAGAATGAGAAAAGCCTATATGGCAGCTAAAGAAGAGAAGGCTTCCTCCAAGGTAACTCAAGCTTAACTAGCAGGGAACTCACTCGCTAGCTTGGACAACTTTCAAACTGCCTAGACGTAACTTTATTTACACAAAGAAATGCAAGTTCAAGGCTGAAACACCTTTGGCATACCAATACCTGGGTAGTGGGAAGCTACTCTCTGGTAACACCCGTTTTCTTTTATTATATGTTTGTTTGTTTTTGTTTGTTTGTTTGTTTGACTGTGTATCCCTGGCTGCCCTGAAGTCTGTATAAAACAGGCTGGCTTCGAACTCACGGAGATCCACTTGCCTCTGCCTCCTGAGAGCAGAGATGAAAAGCATGACTACCACACCCAGTCGCATTTTTGGCTCTTAAATATCCATGCATGGTAGCACACACTTTCTAGTCCTGGGGAAGCAGAGGCAGGGAGATCCTGAGTTCAAGGCCAGCTGGATTATATTACTGAGCTCAAAGCCAGCCTGAGCTGCATAGCAAGACCATTTCAAAACAGGAGAAAAAAAAGCTGGAGAAGCAACCTGGAGAGATGGCTCAGCACTCAAGAGTACTGATGTTCTCTTCCACAGGACTCTGGTTCAATTCCCAGTCCCACACTGTGGTTCACAGCTATCTTTGACTGCAGTTCCAGGGGATCCGATGCCCCCTCTGGTCTCCAAGGTCACTGCAGGCACATGGTACACAGACACACGTGCAGACAAAACACCCAGACACCAGACACGTTAAATAAAAACGAAGGTTAAAGGTTTTTTTTTTCCAAAAAGAATTCTCGCACAATATTGGTAACTATTCTATTAAGCACCTGCTGTTTGAACTCCACATCGGCAAAAGCTGGCAAAAGTGTGACTTATTAAGCAAAGAGTGACTTATTGTCCCATGGGTTCGATCCAGTGTGTCTCTGCGGGTGCTTTTCTCAGAATGAGAGCCATGTGATGTGTGTGCTCAAAACTAAAGCAGAGCTTCACAGGCGCTATACACCTACCTCTCTCCCTACCTCTGACATTTTTGAGACATGGGGTCTTTCTGTGTTGTCCAAGATGGCCTCTCCTTCTGAGTTCGAGTGATAGTCTTGCTTTAGCCTCCTGAGTAGCTGGAGCTATAGGCTAGAGAGGTTCTCTTTAACCATAAAAAAGCTATGCTATATAAAATCTGCCTCTATACTTCCTCATCGAAGGGATATTTATAATGAACATGTTTTGATTCACTGCTGTATGATTTTTAAAAAGTTTGACGGGCTGGCAAGATACTGAGCAACTAAAGGCACTTGCTACCGAAGCTAATAACCCGAGTTCGAGCCCAGACTCCACATGATGGAAGGAGAGAACCAACTCCCAAAAAGTTGCCTCTGGTCTTCACACTTGTGCCATGGCACTTGTGTGTTTTCACGTTCACACGTATTAAATAAATACGTGAAAATATTCTTAATTCTGCTAAAAATTTGTGGAGAGTGAAGCTACGTAAAAAATAGATAATAAAAATACAAAGTAGTGAAAGCCAAATGTGAAACAGTCTGCTTTTATTTGTAATTCCACCCAGGAAGCACAGTCAGACAGGTCAGAAGAGAAGACGAGGAGGATCATCTTCTCCACCCCATCTTTTGAAATTGTGGCAATTGAAGAGCCCCCAACAGACACCCAACTGGAAGAAGAAGAAAGGGAACTATTTGCCTGGTATCAAGACCTGTATGTTAAACAGTCTTCATTGTTTTGAAACACTAGTGGACCGAAAGTCACAGTTGTTTGACAATGTCGTTGGCTCTCTATAAATAAAGAACAGCCCAAGTAGAAAAAAGTCTTTGGTATGCTTTCTTAACCAGATGGCTGATATATTTGGAAGCTCCTTTGTATTATCATAGGTGGGAATGATTTTTAACCTGAATTGATTACTTCCATTAGAGATCCTGAAACTAGCAATATACAGTTTTGTCCAAGAAATGAGAAGCAAATTAATGCCTAAGTGTTTGATTCAACGTTGATTTTTTTCATTACAAATAATTGAACAGGTCATGCTTACCACAAATATTTGAATTCACAGAATAAAGGGCTAATCTTTTTTATTATTGATTTTTATTGCACTCTACATTTTTCCCTGCTCTCTTCCCTGCCTCTCCCCCTCCCCTTCAATCCTCCCACAAGGTTCCCATGCTCCCAATTTACTCAGGAGATCTTGTCTTTTTCTACTTCCCATGTAGATTAGATCCATGTATGTCAAGGGCTAATCTTGAGTCAGCCTCCATTACCGTTGTTTTTACGGAATGGTTATGGAATGACCTATTCTGAATTATAATAAAATGATAATAGATCTGTTATGACAGTAGGCATGACACAGCATACCTAATCATTACTGAGCACTGCAAGCATCTGGGACACAATGTAGCATCTGCTTTGGATAGTTTTCAAATATAAACACTATTTTGAGCAATATTTCTCCATTTCATTTTGAATTGACAAATTTGCCTTCCTGATACGAGCAAATTATTGATTTCGTCTGTGATCCAAGCTACTGAATCATATCAAATATTACTAGAGACTGCAATAGCTAAACTGAATGTAGTTGTTTATTGAACTCTTAAAATAGAATATTTTACTTTGCTTGGGATTTAAAATGCACAGGTTGATTGCTAAAGCTTCTCAGGCATGGCAAAGATCTCATTCTCTATTAAAATACTCTTTTAAATTATAAATATTGGAAGAAATGTATATGATTCACACGAGAGCATATTTAACATAAACATGTATTTTTAATATTAATAAATAGCCTCATTTGATATCCACAAAAGAAGTATAGCCTCTTCTCTTTAGAATTTGTCCTGACACTGATCAAATAAAACACAGCTATTTGTCCTCCTGAATCCCGCATAGACTCATTCATTAACTTAGGAAGCAGCCTCTCATCTGATCAAATGCATACGAGATTCAATCCAGCCACAGTACCTGCAATAGCAAAGCTAAGGAAGCTGTCACATAGAAAGACGAGAAACAGGACAGAGGCCACACTCTTTATGCTTCAAAGAGCCCATTTCTCCTATTTCGTTAGCTGTAACTTCTGCCTGTCCAGAGCACACGCCATTGTAGCCGCATCATAGAAACCCTTTACAAAGCAGAGCTGCACACAGTCCAGTCTCGGCAATGGCTGCTTTCACTTCCCTGTACCTTTCTATCCGTGTGAGTGCCTGTATTGGTATTTTATTGTATAAATTATTGTAGTGATACTTCGCTTGCGATCTAACAAATAAAGCTTGCCTGAAGATCAGAGTGCAGAGCTAAGCCACCAGAAGCCAGGCAGTGGTAGCACACACCTTTAATCCCAGAATTCAGGAGACAGAGGCGGAAGGATTTCTACTAGTTCAAGGCCACCCTGGGTTACAGAAAATTGAAAAGTCTATAAGGGAAATGGAGCGCACGGAAAGGTGATCCCAGCACTTGGGATCCCACACTTTTAATCCCAGCACTGGGGAGGTGGAGACAGGAAGGGATATGGCTGGGTGGAGAGGAATATAAGGCAGGAGGAAACAGGGGCTCAGTGCAGTCTGAGGATGCAGCCTGAGGTGCAGTCTGAAGTAGTCAGTAAGTCTGAGGACAGGATCGCCCTTTTGGTCTGAGCACTGGTAGAGGTCAAAGGTCTCTCTAGTGGCTGGCTGCACTGCTTCTCTGATCTCCCAGCTTTCACTCCCCTAATATCTGACTCCGGGTTCGTATTAAGAATAATTAGAATTTGTGCTACACCAAGGTCCAGCTATCAAAGTAATAAAGTTCAACAAGCAAAAGCCCTCTTTTGGCTACCCTAGTGAACATGTCAAATCAAAATGAACCACCTCATCCTAACATGGGGTTTCTCCTTTTCCCTTCATAAACTGCTGTTTGAGAAACAGGAGTGAGTGGAGTTGGGAGGGAGGGGGGAGGAGGGGAGGAGGGGGAGGGACTGGAAGGAGAGAAAGGAGGGGATACTGCAGGCGGGATATAAAAACTAAAATAAACAAATAACAGAATTTTAAAAAATAAACAAACTGCCCTCCGCCTATGGGCTACATCTGTCTCCTCCCAGCCCTTTGACCCTCGGCGGCAAACATCCTTTCCCCATTCCCCTTGTTCCTTTCTCTTTCTCCCTCATCCTCTGTCTCCTGTCCTTGTCTCTTATTCCTTGCCCTCTGTCCCTCTGGGACAAATAGATCTCATCTGCGCTGAGAACCTCCAGTCCTTTCAGTGTGCATGCGGACATGCTCCTGTGTGTGTGCGCATGTGTGTGCCTGTGTGTGGAGGAGAGGTTGATATCACAAGTCTTTCTCCATCTGAGTTTTTTGAGAGAGGGTTTTGTCACTCAACCTAGAGCTCATCATTTGAGGGCACTGGCTGGCCAGAGAACGCCGTCCCTCCACCTACACACACACACACACACACACACACACACACACTGTGCTAGGATTACAGAGATTTCCAGCCGTGCCTAAGGCTTTTCCACAGCAAGCATTTACCCCACTGAGTCATCTCTCCACCCCCATATTTTTTTTTTGAAACTTATTTTTGTTTTCTCTGTAGCTTTGGAGCCTGTCCTGGAACTAGCTCTTGTAGACCAGGCTGGTCTCGAACTCACGGAGATCCACCTGCCTCTGCCTCCTGAGGGCTGGGATTAAAGGAGTGCACCACCACTGCCCGGCTTGTTTTAGTTTTTTTGTTGTTTTGTTTAGGGGTTTAATATTTTTTTCTTTTTAATTATGTGTGTATGTGGGGGGGGATTGTATGTGTGTGTGTGGTTCCTACAGAGACAAGAAAAGGGCATCAAATCCTGAAAGACTGGAAATTAAAAGGCAGCTGTGAGCCTCCAGACTTGGGTCTAGAAACCCTATTCAGTTCTTCTAGAGGCACAGTAAGTGTTCTTACCCACTGAGCCATCCCTCCAGGCCCTGTTTTGGGAATGTGGGTGTTTAGTTTCGTGTTTTTTATGTGTCTGTCTGTGCAAGTGAGTGTACAGAGGTGAGCCCAGAAGAAGGAGATGGATGCCCTTAGAGCTAGAGTTGCAGGCAGTTGCAAACCTCCTGACCCGGGTGCTAGAAGCTGAGTAATATCCTCTGCAAGAGCAGTACATGTACCAGGGCAGTGGTGGCGCACACTTTTAACCCCAGCACTCCAGAGGCAGAGGCAGGCGGATCTCTGTGAGTTCTAGGCCAGCCTGGTCTACAGAGTGAGTTCTAGGACAACTAGGGCTGTTACACAGAGAAATCCTGTCCAAAAAAAAAAAAAAAGAGTAGTACATGCTCTTAACGACTGAGCCATCTCTCCAGCTCATTCTTGGAGTTTTCAAATGGTACCTAATGTAGATGAGTGTAACATGAGAGCCGGCTTATTGGGGTTTCTGTCCTGCCCAGTATCCCACAACCAGCAAGTCCCAAAGAAAATCACACATAGTCTACATTAGGTTATAAACTGATTGGCCCATTAGCTCAGGCTTCTTGTTAACTCTTATAGCTTATATTAACCCATTATTCTGATCTATGTTAGCCATATGGCTTGGTACCTTTTTAAGCTGGGCAGGTTACATCCTGCCTCTCCAGGTGGTCTGCACAGGAGTGGCGGAGGGAGCTTCCTCCTCCCTTGCCTTCTCCTATTCTCATTGCCCCGCCTCTACTTCCTGTCTGGTTGACCCGCCTATACTTCCTACCTGGCCAATCAGTGTTTTATTAAAATACATGATTGACAGAATACAGACAATTCTCCCGCACCAGATGAGACTGAATTAGAACTCACTATGTAGCCTTCTGACCCTCCTGCCTAAGCCTCCCAACTGTCAGGTGGGGCCTAGGGAGAGGTCTTCAGGTCATTTGGTGGGTGGCTTAATAGAAATGGTGTGACCTCTGGCTCCTTCTTTGTCTCTTTTCTAGACCATGAGGTGATTTAGTTTTATTTCACTATGATCTTTTGCCGAGATATGCCACCAAAGGCCCCAAACAAGTGGGATAATCAACAGTAGACAGACATTTCTAAAATAAACTCTGTCTTGATCAGTTGGTTACAGTGGGCACTTATTACAGAGACAGAAAGCTGACTGACACATTCTGTTGGTTTTCCTTTATGCTATTTGAGGGTGTGGTTAAATACATATATAATTTCAGAATTAAATATGAACAAAGCCTACTTTATCTAGTTTTGGGGTTTTGGGTTCGTCTTCCTGGAATATCTAAAATAATTTTTCATCTTTTTTGGAGTCAGGAAACTTTAAGCAAAACATTTCAAGATATGCTAGAGACAAGATCTTTCTGAACAGGATTTCAATGGCACAGGAAATAATCCCAAGAATGATAAATTGGGTGTATTGTGCTCGAAGTCTTAGTCAGAGCAATTAGTTTAAAAAATATAGAGAAGTAAAAGGGATACAAGTAGGAAAGGAAGAAGTTGAATTATTTTTCTTATTTGCATTAGACATAATCACAAATTTAAAATATCCCAAAGACTCCACCCCCCAAAAAAAAACAGATATGATGCACTTTCAGCAAAATAGCAGGATACAAAATCAGCACACAAAAATAAGTAGCTTTAGGTCAGTGTCGTGGCACATGACTTTAATTCCAGCATTCAGGAGACAAAGATGGGTAAATCTGTGAGTTTAAGGCCAGCCTGATGGACATGGCAAGCTCCAGATGAGCCAGGCCTACATACTACATAGTAAGATGCCAGTCTCCAAAAGGACAGTAGCTTTTCTGTGTGCTAACAATGAAGTTTCCATGAAAAAAATTTAGAAAAAGAATCCATTTGCAATCACTTCAAAAATATCTAATAATGAATCTAATCAAGGAAGTAAAAGACCTCTAAAAAGAAATTTTAAGATACTGAACAAAAAAAATTAAAGAAG